AAACAGGTGAGGGAAGTTGTGTAGAAAGGAAAACAGTTACCTCAGCAGAATTGGACAGTGTGTAGTAGACATTTGTCTATCAGAAAGGTTCCATTTTTGAGTCTCAACTTAAACCCAGTCAATTGATCTCAGCAGGAGTGAAGGTGCACATATTACAAGTTACTTAGACGAAAAATGGCAAACATCATTTCTAATTATTCTAACACGTTTGGAAATTAGCAGAGTAGTTTCAGCTGCAATGTCACCCAAGATTGTAAAATTTATCAGTGCTCACATTATTCAGTGTACACTGTAATGACAACTTGAGTGGCTTTCCTCAGTTGACCATCCCCAGCAGTGGCATACCTTAACAATGAATCAGTGTCACCAGGATGGGAAAGGAGGAAAAATATAAATTGATAGAGAAAGCCAGTGAAATATATATAAGTATGGTGCACTGCTACAAAGGGGCAGACCGTAAAGATAAAAATACTTATAAAGGATGGCAGCAACTGCGAAGTCTTTTTCAGATGTGTTAATATTTAAGGCGGCATTCAAGAACCATACGCAGCCCGAGAGAATCTGGATGAGATCCAATAACATGGCATGGGATTTAAATATTTACTGTGAAATAAATTTTTACAAATGAAGACTGCTAGAATGCAACAAGACACTATTGATGCTAAAATTGAAATATAATCAAGTAGACATAGTTCTTTCCAGGATTAAAGCGCTTATATATTAAAGGTATCTGCCATAGACTGCTGAAATAAATGGAGGCTCCATTATATAGCTCAAATGTCTAGAATTGCACCAATCATTTGGAAAGTGGCAATGTAGTTCTTATATTTAAATTGGTCAGAATTATCAGTAAATATGGCTTAACATCAGTCACAATTCCCACTGACTCTAGTTTTGTTGGGTTTTCCTGATGTCAAAGTTGGTCAAATGTGCCCTTGATGTCACATGCAACTACTCTCACCCTACCTTTGGAATTAAGCTCTTTTGTCCATGTTTGCATCAAGGTTGTAATGAGGTCAGGAGTGGAGTGGTTCTGATGGAACCCAAAAGTGAATGTCAATGAGCTGGTTATTGCAAACTAATGCTGCTTGACAGCATTGTTGGTGACACCTTTCATCACTTTGTGATGATCAAGGCTAGTCTGACGGGGCAATAAATAGATGGGTTGAATTTGTCCTTTTTGCATACAGGGCATACCTGGGCAATTTTCCACATTGTAAGGTAGATGCTGGTGTTGTAGCAGTACTGCAACAGCTTGGTGAGGGGGTATGCCAAGTTCTTCATCAGAAATCTTCAAGACTAGAATGCTGTCAGGGTCAAAGCTTATGCAGTATCCACTGCCTCCAGCTATTTGTTGACATCACTGAGGTTGAATGTAATTGGTTGACAACCGGTATCTGTGATGCTGGGGACCTCGAGGAAGCCGAAATGGAGATTGTTGCAAATATTTCAGTCTTATCTTTTGCACTGATGGACAAGATTTCCACTTCATTACAGGCAGGAATATTTGAGAAGCCACCTCTCACAGTGAGTTAACTGCCCACCATCACTCATGACTGGTTGTGACAGAAATGCAGAGCTTATATCTATTCCAGTGGTTGTGGAACTGCTTAAAGCTGTCTTTCACTTCCTGCTTATGCTGTCTGACATGCAAGTAGTCCCATTTCGGATTTTCACCTTGTTGACAGCTTCATTTTTAGGTATGTTTTTAGCATGCCCTCATGTACTTGTCATTGAAGCAGGGCTAATTTCTTGGCCTGATTGAGGGTGAAATGTGCCAGATCACAAACTTGCAGATTATACTGCACTACAACTTTTCTGCTGCTGATGGTCCACAGCGCCTCATGGATACCCAGCCTTGAGTTGCTAGATCTGTTCCAAGTCAATTCCATTTAGCATGGAGATAGTACCACACAAAACGGGGGAGGGTATCCTCAATGAGAGGACAGGCCATCATCTCCACAAAGACTGTGCAGTCTTCACTCTTACTGATACAATCAAACATACACATCTGCAGCAGATAGATCGATGAGGATGACGTTGTTTTCTCTCTTGTTGATGCCCTCAGCACTTGCCGCAGACTCAGTCTAACAGTAATTTCCTTTACGGCTTGAACAGCTTGGTCACTGGTACACTGTTGAGCTAATGGACATTAAAGTCCCCAACTGAGAGTACATGCTATTCCCTTTTCACTCTGCATGCTTCCTGCTCCATGTTGAACACCAACTGCAGTAATGATTCATCAGTTGAGGGAGATGTGGTGATCAGCAGGGGGTTTTCCTTGCCTATGTTATACCTGATGCAATGAGACTTCATGGGATTGAAGTCAATGTTGAGGACGCCAGGGCAACTCTCCACTGACTGCATACCACTGTGCTGCTACCTTTGCTGGGTCTATCCTGCAGTGGGAGATGGTGTTTTCTGAGACAGTCTCTCTAAGGTACAATTTCATATATCACTATGACAGTGTCAGGCTGTAGCTTCACTAGTCTGTGGGACAACTCTCCTACTTTTGGCACAAGCCTCCAGATGTTCTTAAGGCAAACTGTACAGGATTAACACCATTGCGTTTGCCCTTGTTGTTTCTGGTGTCTAGTTTGATGACATGGGGTCATTCCAGTTCCATTCCCATTTTGAGATATTCTAGCAGTTGATATGACTGAGATCCTCAATAGGCCATTTCAGAGGACATTTGGGTTTAGTTTTTAAACAGGCACATGTAAACCAGATCAGAGCAAGCAAGGACAGCAGTTTCCTTTCCCTGATGAGCATTACTGAACGAGATGGGTTTTTATGACAATCACCAATGGTTTTTTCATGATCCTCCTTAAGGCTTTTAATTCTTGAATTTTATTAAATTTGAATTCTATTTGCCCTTGTCCCCTGGACATTATTCAGGTCTGTGGATTATCATTCTGCAATGTAACACTAAACCATCACCTCCCCAATTCGGCAAAAAAAATAGAAAATTATAGCTTATTGAGAAGAAAATTGAATGCAAAAGTAGGGAGAAATGCTTCAGTTATACAGGGCATTGGCAAGATAACATTTGGAATACAATATAGGATTGTGTACCGTATTGGTCTTCTTACTTGAGAAGGATACAAATATGATGGAAGCAGTTCAGAGGAAGTTTGCTTGATTAATACGCGAAATGGGCAGTTGCTGCATGATGAAAGGTTTGACAGGCTAGGCTTGTATTCGAGTAAAAGGCAATTTGACAGATATCTGTAAGACCCTGAAAGACCTTACAAAGACATTGAGAGGACAGGGTGCATGTCACCTGTGGGACAACCGAGGAGGAGGCAATACTGTTTCATACAGGGGTAGAGATAAATATAATTTATTTTCAGAGGGTCATTAGTCTTTGGAACTCTGCTTCCACCCACTTTTGTTCTTAGAGATATGGAGAAACATGGAGTAATCAGATCAGTTATGATCCTGTTGAATAGTGAAAGGAGGCTTGAAGGGCTGATTGACATACTCCTGTTTCCAACTTCTATTTTTGGATACCACACTAAAATGAGTGAAATATTCAGCAAAAAATATGAAGTTGGTGGATGCTGGAGACTGATTGCGTGTATCAATAATTTCAAAAATCCTTGACAAAGTGTTATAGAGAAGGCTATTTTATAAGAATGTATGTCTAAATGTCCATATTTTTAAGGCTGTTGAGAAGGATCAGAGGATTCTTGTGTAAGGTGCATATTTTGCCTGGACAATTAAATTGTAAAAGTAAAGTAGAACTTCTTTGTCCAAGCTTTGGTCATGCCATTTCTAAAACAGTTTTGATCTGTAGACTTGATAAAGGTTCAGCGAAGTGCTATTGAGAACAATGAACAAATCAGACACTGTTAAAGTGGATGTTATTTAAGATTGACACATTAGGATGAAAAACCAAACCAAAAGAAAAAGGACAGAAATAACAGATGTCAAGAAGAAGATTTCTGAAGAAGGGTCTAGGCCCGAAACGTCAGCTTTCCTGCTCCTCTGATGCTGCTTGGCCTGCTGTGTTCATCCAGCTCTACACCTTGTTATCTCAGATGTCAAGAAATGTTTCTTTTCAAAGTTACCAATCTCTGGTGTAAGTTATTGACATGTGCAGCACATGGCCAGGCATATCTGTCGCAAGCATTCAAAAGAGAGATAGATGGATAACTGCACACAGTACCATGTCTCTAGTATTCAAGAACAATGATGCCAATAATAAGTGGAACACTATTAATGGCTGTTGATAACTTGAAGGCCAATGTGTGTTGGACATTGCAAACTACAAGCCTCAGATAACCATGTTTCCTGATGCTGCTGATTCTTTCATCTTATACTTTGCCTTTATCATGATTGATTCAAGTCCTTTCTTCTGTTATCTTTCCTTCAACATTTGCTTGTCAGCTGTCAATGCCAATAATTTTCTCAACAGTCAAAAACCATGTTGTATCACTTCAAGTGAATCTTTAGTGTGTCCTTTTAGAGCCTTTGTTATCTGATTTGCTTTCTTCTACCAGTTCCCCATGACCACCTTCTGTAAGGAACAAGCATCTGCTCATAGATACGAAGTGAATTGACTTAGACCTGCATCTCTTGGAACTTGCCTTAGGGGAGAGGTTGAAGAGGAATTACAAGTATTTTCCTAAACTAAAGGAAATATTATGATGAACATTGTGTGATGGAGGATGGACGACGGTATGTTCAAGATGGAATGGGCGAGGTGGGTTAGCTTCTCTTTTTCTTTGCAATACACTCGTGTGAAACAAAATTACACAGGTTCTGTTTCATCTCCTTAAAATAAGTCAGGAAAAAGGGACACATGTTCAAAAGAGGGGAAGGCAAAATTTATGGCTGATATCTGAAAGTTTTTAAACATAAAATAGGTCATTCCTGGAATGGGTCAATGATTAGAATTATGGAGGCAAAAATACTGCAATCAATTAGCAGCCGATGTTGTGACTTTCTGGGATGCATGCATTTAGATGTGGCAAACAATACATTTTTTGATCTACCCAATACCTTTCAAAGAGTCTTGTAACCAAGTGCAAAGCCCACTTCTTACACTTCCACCATACCAGCTCAGGCCTGTCATCTTCATCCACCTGCAATGTTTCCTGCAAGGTTAAGGAGTTGAAAATGCGTTCAACTACTTTTACTCCATAGCATACAGTAAATTGCACATTCACTCATCTAAATGAATAGTCTGTTTTAAGTAGTTATGACATTTCTCAAATTTTTTGGAGATTCAACTAATTGTTACACCATCATTACATCTTCAGGGTTGTAGTATAATGCCTCACTGTTATCAAGGAAATCAGGGGTCACTAGTTTTTTTTTGAGTTCAGTTCAGAATCGGGTTTCAGTTCAGGAAAACAGGTGCATTCTAGCAAAAGGGTTTTGGTTTGTGAAACATCAAGTCTCTTCTGTAGGAAGTTTTGAGCTATCAGAACTGAAGAGAGACTTAGATCATCAGAACTGGAAAGAAGTCTCGAGGCCATTAAAGCTGAAAAGAATCAGTTAAGTAAGATATTAAAGACTTAAGATAGAAGTAACAGTTAATTGGGATGCAGTATCTGTAACAGATATTACTCTGAAGCAAGTTAAAACGCTGTTTTGCCGTTTGCGTTAAGATCTTTCTAAACTATAATATAGAGCTTTGTTTTGCTTCCCTTTCACCAAAAAGCAATTTTTTACAGAAAGAAAAATTGGCAGCCTTGTGTGAATATGTTCAGTAAATAACCATCATTCTCATCAACTGCAAACAAAAAGATGATCCGTCAAACCTCATTTTACTCTGGAATCCCACTTGGGCAGTATTAACATTCCGTGGTGTCGTAATATGCTGAATATTTAAGGCCAAAACACCAATCCATACTGGTTATTATTAGTTTTATCCTGTCACCTTTTTTTTTTTTTTTAAAAAGTTCACTCGCTTGTCCAGCATTTATTGCCTGTCCCTAGTTGCCCTTGAGAAGGCAATGGTGAGCCACGTTTTGAACCACTGCAGTCCACATGCTGTCGATAAAGCACATTGCCATCAGGAAAAGAGTTCCAGGATTTTGACCCAGCAACACTGAAAGAACAGTAATATATTTCCAAGTCAGTATGGTAGCAGCTTGGAGAAGAACTTGCAGATGGCAGTGTTCCTATGTACCTGCTGCAATTGTCCTTCGAGATGGAAGTGGTCATGGGTTTGGAAGATGCTAAGGCTCTTTGGTGAATTTCTACAGTGATCTCGTAGATGGTATACACTATGGGTACTGAGTGACAGTGATAGAGAGAGTGGACATTTATGGATCCAGTGCCAATTAAGCCAGTTGCTTTATTCAGTGATGATCACACCATTGAATGTTTAAGGGCATTGGTTAGATTGGTTCTTATTGGATATGATCATTGCCTGGCATTTGTGGTGCGCAAATGCCTCTTGCCACTTTTCAGCCTGAGCCAGGTCATGCTGCATTTGGACACGAACTGCTACAGTGTCTAAGCAGTGACAAATGGCATTGAACATTGTGCAGTTATTAGCGAACATCCCCACTTCTGCCTTACACTACAGGGAAGGTCATTAATAAAGCAGAGGATGGTTGGGTCTAGGACAATAAGAAGTATTAGTGGAGTAATAATGTAACATGTGCAACTATCTAAACTAACGTCATGGTTTCCCAAACTGAAAGAACTTTGGATGCTACAGTTGAAGCATTTGCAATTTTCTTACTATCTTTTTGTACCATTCTTCATCAGCTAAGTACCAGGGCAAGCGGCATGTAGACAATATGGCGTTCCAAATTTTCACACCATCGCAACAGATTGCAGTACTTCTGCTTAAGCTAGGTGCACAGTCTGGAACCAAATGACGTGTTGACAAGAATTATTTATACACTGACCTGATAAGACCTGGGAGAAGTATGAGATGGTTTCCCAATCAATTTCCTACTTACGTTTAATGGCAAGAAAAATCCTCCTTCCAGAGGAAGCTCTTTCTGGCCATAGCTAGCTTTTGTGTTATGCAATCATAGCTCCTCTGTCCTCACTATTGCAGAGTCCACCAGATCCACCATTGGGCATCACTCACAACCCAGGGTGAGCCAACTGGAGCCGGTACTGACACAATGGCATGGTCAACCACACCCTGGGTTTTTTTTTAAATTCATTCACAGGGCGAGGGTGTCACTGGCTGGGCAGCATTTATTGCCTATACTGAATTACCCAGAGGGCAGTTAAGAGCCAATCACATTGCTGTGGGTCTGGAGTCACATGAAGGTCAGATCAAGTAAGGATGGCAGTTTCCTTCCCTAAAGGACAGTAATGAACCAGGTGGGTTTTTCCGACAATCAACAATGGATTCATAGTCATCATTAGACTCTTAATTCCAGATATTTATTGAATTCAAATTCCACCATCTGCCATGGCAGGATTCGAATCTGGGTGCCCAGAATGTTATCTGGGTCTCTGGGTTGACAGTCCAGCGATAGTAGCACTAGGCCATTGCCTCCCCCGACATCATTCAGGTATCCCTGTGATTCTGTTAGTATTAATATGCTGCTAATTATTAATTGCACGTATTAATTTCAGTCAGTCCCAACCCTGAACTGAACGATAGTTTCCTTGTGATGTTGGTGTGCTATTCTTTTTCTCCACTGTTTATACTAATGCAGAATAATTATTAAACATGCCTGTGATTTCCTTGCTTCCATTAACAATATCACTGTTATAATTTAAAGGGTCCACGTTGCTCCTAATTATCTTTTTTCCTTGTAAAAGAGAGAATTATCTTTGATGGTTCTTGTTCTCTTGTGGTTTCTTTTCATACTTTTTGTTTGCAGATCTTAGAATTTGCTTTTGTTACTCTTTGCTATTCTTTGTACATTTCTCATTCACCAAGATGTGTACTTTATTTTGCATTTTAAATACATATGCTTTCTCTTTTACATCTTTAGTTGTGCCCTCCCCTCTTTTTCATCAAGTAAAACTCCTACCATTTGAGACATAAATTGATTCTGTATCATGTTAAATTCAGTTTCAACGCCTCCCACTGGTCGAACTTTTTACTCATTAACAGATGTATCTCATGATCAGATTATTGCAGGTAGTCTGTCTCATCACATTGAAGGCAGTACTACCTAAACATCTAGAAACGAGGTAGATGTTTTGGATTTCTTTCTTTCTTTGAATCATTACGTTGATCTAATAGCGATCATAAGAGATAGATAGTGAAGCAGTAACTTGAGGGGTGGGACAGAAGGAACACATGGGAGAGATGAGGGTGAATACAAAACAAAAGAACATTAGAGCAAACACATTAGAAAAATAGAGAGAAAGAAGAAACAGACAAATGGACAAAAAAAAGGAGAAATGTGACAGGAAAGAAAGGTCAAAATAAGTGCACAATCCAGATTTCAAGCAAATGTTTGAATATGAAGTATGATAAAGGTCACATCTTTTCTGGTTTTTTTTTGGTCCAGAAGGTTGCTCACCCAGATTTAGATCAACAAAGTCTAAGTAATCTGTAATGAGCAATCATCTTATTTTGACAGCGCACAATGACAGGAACTGTGATGCATTGCTTAAGAGATTGAAGTTCAAAGGGATCTTAGCTGGTCTCAGTAGTACAGGAAGTTCCTGTATGACTAAAATGTCTGGGATTTTTTTCAATCACTCTTATTTCATAATATTCATGGCAAATGATCCAGACAAAACAAAAACTGTTGATCTGTTTGGGTCAGGAAAGAGACAGATAGTTCACATACACACCCGAAAGGGGAGGTGGAGATGGGAAAGGGAAGAGATATACATAGAGAGGAAAAAAAAAAAGAGATCGGAGAAAATGAGAGGACACACACACACGCGCACACAGACAAACTCACGCGGTAAGCAGACAGAAGCCCAACAATAGGGATGGGAGACAGGCAAGTATATGTAAGCACACACCTGATTAGGTGACCATATTCAATGCAACAAAGTAAATGTTTCAAAAAGCACTTACAGAAGGAACATCTCGGTCAATGATTGTTCGGAATATTTCCATCCATTGAGTCATGGTTTGTTTATTTACCAGTTGCAGTGGTAGTGTGTACTAGCAAAAGGAAGCCAGAGAGACAACTTAGTTGAACAAGTCTCTGAAAAGTAAATCAAACTGTCAGAAATTTCTGGTTACAAATGTAGTTCTTTCCATTTAGTTCATATTTAACTGATAGAGTTTCAAGATCAGTCACACACATAGCAATGAAGATTTGAAAATACTCAACTCTGCTTAACGAAAAACATTAATAAACAGTGGGGTGACACAATTTAATGATAACAGAGGGTAATTTTATCTGGAAAAATAAGCGATGAAGGGTTTGGTTCCTCTTACCTCTCCCTGTGTAAAACCCTAAGACAATAAGTAACTTTATTACCAGCATGATAACAATGATGAAGGATGGGAGAAAATATAACTCTTCCATTTTTACCTTTCTACCTTACTGATTCACTTTTATTTACTCATGGATATAGCTAGGCCAGTATTCATTGCCCAGCCTGAATAGCCCTTGAGAAGTGGTGATGTGCTGCCTTGGAAAAACACTGCAGCCCATTTCAAGTAAGCACATTTGCAATGATGTTAGAGAGGAAATGCCAAGTCTCTGAAACAGCAACAGTGAAGAAATGGAGGCGTATTTGCTATCAGGAAGGTGAGTGGCTCAGGGAGCAACTTGTAAGAGTTCTGCTGCCGTTGTGTTTGAATTGTGCTGTTTAAGGAGTCTTGGTGATTTTCTGCAGTGCATCTTATACATGGTCCATACTTCTTCTACTATTAGTCAAGGGAGTGAACGTTTGTGGATCAAGTGAGCGGTTTTGTCCTGATTGTGTCAAGTTTCTTTTTAAGTGTTGTTGAAATTGCACTCATCCAGGCAAGCAGGGAGTATTCCATCACACTCCTGACTTGTGCCCTGTAGATGGTAAGTTAGCTTTGGTGAGTCAAGGAATGAGTTACTCCCTGCAGGACTCCTAGGTTCTGCACTGCTCTTGTAGTCACTCTATATTAGTTGGCCAGTTCAGTTCAATTTCTGGTCAAAGGTAACCCTCAGGAGGTTGATACTAGGTGCTTTCAGTGATAGCAATGTCACTAAATGTTGAGGGGTGGTAATTAGATGCTGCTATACTGGAGATGGTCATTGTTTGGCGTGTGTATGACTGTATGCTACTTACCACTTGTCAGCCCAAGTCTGAGGGATACTGCCAGCTCTTACTCTATTTGGACATGAACTGCTTTAGTGGGAGGATTTTTTAGTGGTGCTGAACACTGTGCAATCATCCCCACTTCTGACCTTATGAAGAAGGGAAGGTAATTGATGAGGCAGCTGAAGATGGTTCAAAGCAGAACACTACCCCGAGTTCCTCTACTACTGCAGTGATGCCTTAGAGCCGAGATGACTGACCTCCAAAAACCACAACCATCTTCCCTTGCACTAGGTATGGCTTCAACCAAAGGACAGTTTTCCTCTGATTTCTATTGATTCCAATTTTGCAAGCGTTCCTTGATGCAACATTTGGTCAAATGCAGCTTTGATGTCAACAGCAATCACCCTCATCTCACCAATTTCCATTGATCTCCCCTATCTTCACACTATCACAATGAGATACATGCAACCGACTACACTAGCTAGTAAGCTCCTCATGGTTATTAATTACGAGATTCTTTTTGAAAATAAGGATTTATTTGTTACAAGGCCAAGTACTGTTTAAAGAACTTAAGTTTTAAAAGATTGTGGAAAAGTGATTTATTTCAAGCTTTATGGAAATACCTGGAGTGATTTTCTTAAAAGAGGTAACTGGAAATTCAAATGTGGACACTCGATTTTTGTTTTAAAATGTTTATTCGCATGAAATCACAATTGATGAAAACTTCTTGCTTTTCTGTAGACAAGTCCCATGTCTTTTGTTTTGCACAGTGAGTAGTTTGAAGAACGGAAACAACTCCTGGGACTGTTTTTAAGCAGCCAGTAGCTTGGAGATATTCTTGTTTTATATAGCACAGTTAGAGGGAAGCTTCCTGAAAACAAGTTGAGTTGGAGAAAAGTCTATTTATAACAAGCTGAATTGGAGGAAAGCTTACGAACAACAAGCTGCCTAGCTCATCTCACTCATTTTTTTGAAGGAAAACCCTCTAGTTGACTTCAAGGTGAAATCTACTCTCTCTTTCGAAACAGGGATTGAAGAAACATCAAGTTTACAATTCCTAAGCAAACTGTGCCTTCAAGACTCCAGAAACAACCATGCATGATTAGTGAACTGACCACATGTGCCAGAACTCAGAGCAACATACTTCAGAACGTTCGCTTTGTATGCTTTTGTTGACAAAAATAATCCATTGGCCAAGTATTTTCATTTTCAGAGAGCCAATCTTTTCAGAAAATTTGTTTTATTTCACTTCTTTTTTGAGAAGTGTGTGTTTTGCATGTGGAGATAGTTTAACAGTAAGTGTTTATATTTCTATACTACTGTCTATTTTAACCAATTGTTGTATCTTAACTAAATAAGTTTTGTTTCGATAATAAACGAATACTTGTGCTCATTAAGAAACCTGGATGATAGATCTTGTTGTTTAAGTAGGTAAGATATTTAATTGGTGATCCTGGTAATTAGAAAAAGTATTTTCATTTTATGTTTTGACCCATGGAGTCATGGGACTACAGTAATGGCATATTCTCCTACAGTTGCAGTTGCAACAGTTATATAAATGCAAGGATTTTTTTTAATAACAATCATCATCAAGGAGTAAAAGCCTCCTTTCTAACAGTTATTGGCACAGGGTACTGAACATCCCTGTGCATCTCATTCCCCTATTCAACACCTTATCTGCCACACATGGCTAAATAGAAATGTTGGGAATTATGTTTTTGATTTGTAATAAATACAAATAGGAATAAATTTTAAAAATTTAATAAAATAAAAAATTGAGTAACAGACAAAGTCATCAACAGAATGATCTCAATACTCCTACATTGCTACAATGGCTGAAATTTAAAAGCACTTCAGTAATCTGTTGTGAGCTGTGTGAGGTTGTGAAAGGCTCTCTATAAATGCAAGTCTTCCTCATAGTCATATGCATATACATACAAATGTTACCATTTGCCAAGAGGGACACAGTTATGATGAACAGCAGAGCACAAGTGCACTTTGATTCACTTCAATACATTGGAAATGCCAACATTTCTATATCGAGTGGACAGTCCACAGCCTGGTCAGCTGAACCTGTCACAGTCATTGCTCCAGGCAGAAAAATGCCAGCTCAAAAAGTGGTGAAGGAATTGATAGAAAGATACAACACAGGAGGCCATTCAGCTCATTAAGGCAATGCAAATTCTGTAAAAAAAGACAAATATATACACTTATCCCTCTAACCCAAAGCTTTGCACTTTTTCCCTCTTTTTAAGCACGTGTTCAAATCCCTTTTGAAAGTTATTATTGAAGCTATTTTTCTGGCACTACATTCCAGGTTATCATAAATCATAGCATTTTTCTCCTCATGCCATCTTTACCTCTTTTGCCAATTATCTCAAATCTAGCTTGTCATTGCAAAGGAGAAGCAACATTCAATTATATTTTGGATGGAGCACTGGAGCAAGTCTGATACATCTCAGGATGCAAGACAAGGTCCTTAGCAGTCACTAAGTAGTCATCAATGTTTGACACTGCATTAAGGTCGGCTGAATCAGATTTCAAATTTCGCTGAAAGTGAAAGCCTGAAAAGCTTTACACTGGATAGAGGCTGATGTTTAATTACATAAACACCTTGTTAGAAAAATGGTTTATGTTTAATATTGCTTGGAGGACTAAGTTTTGAAGGGCCATGGAAAATAGAATTATTTCAGGTTCTGTGGAAATACTTGCAGTGGTTTGTTTAAAAAGGTCATTGGGAGCTCACTGTGGACATTGGAGGTTTTTTTTTAAGCATGGCTGCCTGCAAATTAACATGATTGGTGAAAACCACTTACTTTGCTTTAGATTCCTGCAGGGGCTGCTTTGAACAGTGACTGGCTTGGGCAGGTGCTTACAGTTGGAGTGAAGCATTTAAATAAATATGGACTACTTCAGTATTTGAGGAGTCACAAATAGTGCTGAACTATGTACAATCATTGGCAAATGTCACCACTTTTGAGTTTATGATGGAGTCATAGATGAAACAGCTGAAGCCACTTGGGCTGAGAAGCATATACTGAGGAACTTCTGCAGAGCTGTCCTGAAGCTGAGAAGACTGACCTCCTGCAACCACAACAATCTTCATATGTGCCAGATATGACTCCAACCAGCAGAGAGTTTGCGCCCGATTCCAGTTTTGCTCAGGCTCCATGATGCTAAATGCTGTCAAATATGGCCTTGATGTCAAGGGCTGTCACTCTCACCTCAGGAATTCAGCTCTTTTGACCACGTTTGAACCAAAGCTGGAATGACATCAGGGGCTGAGCAGTTTTGATGAAGCCCAAACTCAATGTCAGTGACCTTTTTTGTGTGAAGTGGTGAGAAATTAGTTTTAAGGCAGGGTCAATCCATCTGGCATTGTCAGACTGCCTACAACCTTGTGCTTTTGTTGTACATAGATGTGTGTTGGACTGGCATATTATGCACAATTACGGCTATATAGCAACTAAAGGATGTTACACTTCTTCACATTTCTCAAAGTAAACTCCATAAAATTAGTTATCCAATGGAAAAGCTGTTCCCAATATAGTATTCCATCATGAAGTTGCTAAATCGTAATTGCAAATGGAAGTGTTCTACTCCTCTACAGTGTGAGCTTGAACGTGCAGTTTCCTAAGAAGACTGAACAGAGAAAGATTGCAGAGGAAGGCGAAATAAATAGATAACAACAGACAGGCTTTCAGTAAATGTGTCCTTGTACTTCAGTAATCTGTCAATATTCGGTGATAAAGTACAGAAAGAATTCTCAGTTAAACACAGCACTTGAGGGATATCAATACGCCCAGTATGCTAAAAAGCTGGGACTTTTGAATATGATGACAGGAATTTATATAGTCTTTCATTACCCCAAGATAACCAGTGTGCTTTCAATCAATAAAGCATTTGTCAAGTGTAATCACTGTAGTGTTGGAAACTTACATCTAAGATTCCAGTAGCCACAATGTGTGTGGCTAAGGGTATGGTGCATGGAAACCAGTATGGCCACCGAATAATAAGAATCTGAGGTTATTAACAAATACATGCTAGGGTAGCTGTATCAGCTATTTAAGTGGGGCCATTAAAACCCTGCTGCATTGATGAACTTATTACCTTATGAATCGCCAAAGATGTGGAACAAGACAGGACACCATCATGGCCATGTTTATTGATATCAGATATGTATTTCTTGATAAACTCAACTCAGATTCTTGAACAAAAACAAAGTTGCTGGAAAAGCTCAGCAGGTCTGGCAGCATCTGTGAAGGAGAAAACACAGTTAACGTTTCGGGTCCGGTGACCCTTCCTCAGAACCGGACCCG